TTGGAAAGCCTTCGGGGAACACGTGGGCGTCTTGATGGTCATCGTCGCCGTCTTGGAGGCCTCTTGGGCGATCTTTCGGCGATCTTTGGGGGCTCTTGGGCCGTCTCGGGCCGTCGGAAGGCCGAAAAAAGGGAAATGCCCAAATCCATCAAAAACCTTGGGAAAATCAGTGATTTTGGCATCTTTTGGCCTTCCTGGAGGCCCTCTTGGGGGCCTCTTGGGCCCTTTTGGGCCAGCTTCGAGCCAACTTCGGCCATCTTGGTGGGTTCCTGGCACGTCTGACGCCGTCGGGAGCCGTTTTGGGGGCCTTTCTGGGCCAACGGGGGACCCTCTTGGGGCGCTCCAGGGCCGTCTTGGAGGCCATCTTGGGCGTCTTGGAGGCCATCTTGGGCGTGTTGGAGGCCTCTTGGGCCCTCTTGGGGCCCTCTAGGGGCCATCTTGGAGGCCACTTGGGCCATCAGGGGGCTCTCTTGGGGGCCTCTTGGGCGATCTTGGGGGCTTCTTGGGCCGTCTTGAGCCGTCGGAGAGCCGAAAAGGCGCAAATGCCAAAATCCTTCAAAAACCAATGGAAAATCAATGATTTTGGCCTCTTCGGACTCTCCTGGAGGACCTCTTGGAGGCCTCTTGGGCCGTCTGGGAGGCCTCTGGGGGGCCTCTTGGGCCGTCTTGGGCCGTCTTGGACTCTCTTGGGCCGTTTTGGAGGCCGTCTTGGACCATCTCGGGCGGACTTGGAGGCCATCTTGGGCCATCTTCGCGATTTTTTGAGGATGTCCCGAGCGAAACGGCCGTTCTTGGAGGATTTTTTGCGGTCGTTGAGCACGTTTGGGGAAATTCTGGGTGGCCGGCGGGTTCTGCCGGAGCCCACTGGGAAGTTCTTTTGGAAAAAGAACCAAAACCAAAACCTGAAACGTCCAGCACGCCGTGCACCCCTGCAAGCAGGGGGCGGCGGATCCAGTTGCCTGCGGCAAGTCCCGCCACCGTGCCAGCCTAGCATTCTGAGTGCCGACTGCTCGATGGTGGGAGAATCGTAACGAGGACGAGGGTCAGAAATGGTGAGAATTACAAAGATGTTGATGCTGATGGTGCTGGTGGTGATGATGGTGGGGATCATCACGGTGATTATGAGTGACGGTGATGCTAAGTGATGGTGTTGATCACAATGATGTTGATAATGCTGATGGTGATGGTGACCATGCTGATGGTTATGGTGTTGATGTTGTTGATGATGGTGCTGATGTTGAGGTGGATGATGATGATGATGCTGCTGATGATGATGATGCTGATGCTGTTGATGATGATGATGATGATGATGATGATGATGATGATGATGATGGAGATGATGATGATACTGACGATCATGATTACGATCGTGATGACGATTATTATGATGACGAGTTTGAGTCTTAGTATGTTGACGGTGATGACGATGATGATACTTGTGGTGGTGATGTTGATGATGGGTACTGGTGATGGTGGCTGAAAGGATCATGATTCGGAGTCTGATCCTGATTTCGCTGATGATGATGGCGACGACTGTGATGCTGCTGCTGATGCTGACTGTGATGATGGTGATGCTGAGGCTGATGCTGGTGATGATGCTGCTCATGAAAGTGATGATGATGATGATGATGCTGATGACGATGCTGATGTTGTTCATGATCATGATTATATTGATTATGTTTTGTCGGTGTTATTATGAGGAGGATATTGTTGAAGATGCTGGTGATGCTGATGATGATGCTGATGATGGCGCTGCTGCTGATTATGCTGATGCTGCTGATGATGATGCGGTTGCTGATGATGCTGACCGTGATGGTGATGTTGTTGATTGTGTTGACGATGATGATGCTCATGGTGATGAGGCTGCTGATGATGCTGATGATGCGATGTTGATGATGATGCTGATGAAGATGACGATGATCGTGTTGATGCTGTGCTGATGCTGATGCTGATGCTGATGCTGATGCTGATGCTGATGCTGATGCTGATGCTGATGATGCTACTAATGCTGTTGTTGCTGAGGATGGGGAGGATTAGGAGTAGGAGGAATCGGAGGAGGAGGAGGAGGAGGAAACGGAGGAGGAGGAGCAGGAGTAGGGGGAGGACGAGGAGGTGGGAAAGAAGGAGGATCATCGGGAGGAGACCGTCACATGTGGCACCGTTCGTCTTCGCTTCTCGAGGCGCCCTCTTGGACCTCACCTGGGCCGTCTTGGGGCTGCCCGGGGCTCCCGTGGGGCACGCGCGGTGTCCGTCTTGGGGCTTCTGTCGGCCGTCTTGGGGAGCCCTCTGCGGCCAGCCCGGGGCCCCCTTTGGGGCTCCCGCGGCAGCCTGCAGAGTCTCTCGGGGCCGTCGCGAGGCCGTCTTGGGCCGTCCATGGGGTCATCTGAGGCCGTCGGCCGTCTCGGAGCCGTCTTGACCGCGGACGCGCGAACGGCAATGTAGGTAACGGCGAGGTGGGTTTCAAGTTTCGGCGTTGTAGGCAGGACTGGTTCGTGGCCAAGCCAACTGTAGGACATCGCGGTTCGCGCTCTCCTGCAATTCGCTGCGTTGTGTTCGCTCGATACATTCGCACATTCGAAATGTAGAAAACTGTGGTTCGTGATTTCCTACAATGTTATGCGCGAGCTCCGTGTCACAATGATGAGATTCCCAACATCGCCGTTAACCAACATCGCCGTTAGCGCGGCCTTGGCTTGAGTCCAAGTTCGGCCGTCTCGGAGTCATTCCGGGCCGTCTTGGAGACATATATTGGGCCACGTCGGCGGCCGTGGCGGCATTCCAGAGATCCTCTTATAGGCCAGCTTGCGGCTCTCCTGGGGCCGTCTAGGGCCAGCCTCTCTGCGAGGCCTGCTGGCAAATGTCGTGGCTCCGTTGGGCCCTCTCGGGGCCGCCTGTGAGGCTTGTTCTGCCGTCTTGAGCCGACGGAAGCCCGAAGCGAAAATCCTTCAAACCTTTCTGTTGAACATCCATGGTTTGAGCTTCTTCGGGTCCTCTGGAGGTTCCTCTTGGACAGGGCTGGACCAAACGCTGTTTTGTTGGACTTCGGCAGTGCTTTGTTTTTCGTTTTGGGAGGGAGGTTCAGGAAAACAGGTGGAACAAAACCAAACACAAAACGAAAACAAAACGACAAAAACAACGATTAGGTCCAGCCATGCTCTTGGAGCCTTCTTGGGCGGTCTCCAAGGCCTCGTGGGCCGTCTTTAGGCCATCTTGGGCCATCCTGGAGCCATCCTGGGTCGTCTTGGAGGCATCTTGGGCTCAGGAGCGCGAGCCGGTTGAGTTCTGCCTCGAGAGCGAGAAGCTGCCGTACCGTGGGAGCCCATGCCAAGAATTCCCTGCTCGCCTCTAGGGTGCCCTGGGTTTCTTGGGTTTCGATGGTTTTGCGATGGAGAGCGCCACGTACCCACACCACAATTCGATGGAAGTCCTGGATCTCAGGGTTGGGCTTCTTGTGGAAGGTTTCCTGTGGACTGGCCCCCATTGTGTTGTACACAAGGATCTTTGGCCTCGAGGGCGAGAAGCTGCCGTGTTCTGCGAAGGGATTGTGGCCTCGGGAGCAGGGGGCGGTGCATACGGGGCAGTGTGACGAGAGAGGGGGGGCCTCCTCTACAGTGAAGTCGGGCACGCCCCTCTACAGGAGGAATCTTCAGAAGGAGTCAACAAATAAGAGGATGACGATTCTTCGACTAGTTTTGAATATGTTTTGACTGTGTCTCACTTTTCCTTCTACAACCCGCCTGTAGGAGGACATGCCCGACCTAAGACTACAGCAGCCCGGCCAGACAGCACTTGGTATTCTAGCACCCCTCGACGTGCCAGGGGACACGGTGGCGGATTGTTGTGTTGTTTCCCGAAGGTGCCGCGCGCTTGAATGTAAGCTATTAGCATCGTGTTACCTCCCGGTGTCCTACGTTTTCGTGATTTGAATCGTCGTCATGTATCATTTATCTTCGAGGGCCACGGGGAGGAAAAAAAGGAAGAGGAGGGGAAGGGCGATGAGGAAGACGATAACGATGATGATGATGATGATGATGATGATGATGATGATGATGATGATGATGATGATGATGATGATGATGATGATGATGATGATGATGATGATGATGATGATGATGATGATGATGTTGATGATGCTGATGCTGATGATGCTGATGCTGATGCTGATGATGATGATGCTGATGCTGATGCTGATGCTGATGCTGATGCTGATGCTGATGCTGATGCTGATGCTGATGATGATGATGATGGTGGTGGTGGTGATGATGGTGATGATGATGCTGATGATGATGATGCTGATGATGATGATGCTGTTGATGTTGATGATGATGGCGACAATGACGATGATGATGATGATGATGCTGATGATGATGATGATAAGGATGATGATGATGATGATGATGAAGATGATGATGATGATGATGATGATGATGATGATGATGATAATTCTGATGATGATGATGATGATGATGATGATGGTGATGATGATGATGATGATGATGATGAGGATGATGACGAGGATGAGGATGAGGATGAGGATGAGGATGAGGATGAGGATGAGGATGAGGATGAGGATGAGGATGAGGAGGATTTGGACGTGGAGGACGAGGAGGAGGACGAGGAGAGGATTTGGACGTGGAGGAGGAGGAGGAGGACACTGAGGAGGAAGAGGAAGAGAAGATCGTGTGCCTCCTCGTGCCTCTGCCGCCTCTATAGCCGCTGTTTCTCTCACTGTTCATCATCCTTCGGGACCTCGTAGGGCTCTCGAGCATCCAGTGGAACTTCCTGAAACCTCCTCGCAACTCTGACGCCTTCAGTCTGCCTCCGTCTCCCTCGCCCTCCAAGAGCATTGCGAAAGCCCCCGAGTTCATCTGTAAACGACCGAACACATGCGGCAACCTCCTGCCTCCCTCCTCCTTCCTGGAGCCGATGCAGGCAGAGCCCAGCCTTGATGCAGCCCCTCGCGGACGAGCCCGCCGGCGCGCTTCCCAACCTGCTCACCAATGCGCGTGCTGGGCGCGGGCCACAGGACTGCTCCAGTGTGCAGTATCAGGAGGAGCTTCAATGCAGGCTCAGCGGGGGGCAGGAGCGCATCAGTCTCCTAAGTTGAGGTCTGGCCTCCACTCTGGATGTTGGTCTCCATTGTTGTAGTGCTTAATTTTTCAGAAGAGCTAACCTTTGGAGCGCCCAGTCCTTTTATGACGATGTGGCCCAGTGATAGGCCCCCGCCCACAAGTCTGACCGTGCGCGGTCTTGGATATCCGAATGGACTCCCCCCAAGTGGCTCTTCTACTGCCTGTGCGAATGGACATGGCTTTGCTGATGTCTGTGAAACTGTCGATGCAGCTTGCTATAATGGCGTTGGATGTTCAAACGGATCTTTGCGCTATCCCAGTGGAGCCCTTGTCTATTACAACAGTTCTCTCCGCTATTCCGATGGATCCGTTGTTTGCTTGCAGTCTTGTCCAGCCAAGGCCAACCCCTGTCAGTCCAATCTATCCGTAAGGGCTTCGTCTCTGCCGCCGGCCCCTCTCTCAGAGAATGGGAGATGCAACAGCTAAATCATGAGGTTTGGGCACCGCCGTGAAGCAGTGTCGGGACCTGTTTATTTTTTGACCCTGACCCTACGGATTTGCGTCACGGGTGCCACCGAATATCAGAAATGTGGCAAATCCCATTGTTTTTTGGACCCTGACCCTGCCGATCTGCGTGAGGGGTGCCGCCAATTTTCAAACATGTGGCAAATCCCTTGTGTTTTTGGACCCTGACCCTGCCGATCTGCTTGAGGGGTGCCACCGAATTTCAGAAATGTTGCAAATCTTACAAGCTTTCGGACCCTGACCCCGCCGATATGCGTGAGGGGTGCCACCGAATTTCAAACATGTTGCAAATCTTACAGGCTTTCGGACCCTGACCCCGCCGATCTGCGTAAGGGGTGCCACCGAATTTCAAAAATGTTGCAAATCCTATAAGTTGTTGCACCCTGACCCCGCCGATCTGCTTGAGGGGTGCCGCTGAATTTCAGAAATGTGGCAAATCCCTTGTATTTTTGGATCCTGACCCTGCCGATCTGTGTGAGGGGTGCCACCGAATTTCAGAAATGTTGCAAATCTTAAATGTTTTTGGACCCTGACCCTGCCGATCTGCGTGAGGGGTGCCACCGAATTTTAGAAATGTTGCACATCCTTTAGGTTTTTAGATCCTGACCCCGCCGATCTGCGTGAGGGGTGCCACCAGATTTTAGAAATGTGGCAAATCCTTTGTGCTTTTGAACCCTGCCCCCGCCGATCTGCGTAAGGGGTGCCACTGGATTTTAAAAATATGGCGGCCCTTGTGTTTTTGGACCCTGACACGCCGATCTGCGTGAGTGGTGCGACCGAATGTCAGAAATGTGGCAAATCCTTTGTGTTTTTGGACCCTGACCCCGCCGATCTGCGTGAGTGGTGTCAACTTTACCCACCCCAGCAATTCAGACAATTCGATTTCTCCGTGCTAGAAATGCCTGTATTGGGCCTCCCCCCTCGCGCGGTCCATCAACAAGGAACAGTAAGCAGCAAGACGTCAACAAGGAACAGTAGGCAGCAAGAAGCAGAACTGTAGCAGTAGAAACTGGAAGCTGCAACTGGTACAGGAAACTGCCAGTTCCCGGCTTACAGCCTGGTGACCCCGCAAGGGTGCCGGCGGATTCAAGTACAGTTCAGCCCAGTCCAGGCCAACTCAGTTTTATCCAGACATATATACGTCCCTTTTGTCGCCGCCGTTGGACGCTGTGACGCGCATGCCCTGCATGGGCCGTTCAGGTGATCGTCGGTCTCGTATCATCCGAGCCACCCGTTACCGCATGCTATTTGAAGGGCTTCTCTCCAGAAGCGCGGTATTGTGGCCTCGGGATCGTGGATCCGTTGTTTCTGACGTGTCCCAGATACCTACAAATTCAGAGGATGTGACTTAGTAAGAGGTATTGGTTCATCTCTGACTGAGGAGTCTGAGTTTGTGGAGCACGCACTGTCGGCCCAACATGACAGAATTGCTCTGCGTGTATAAGCGTTCCGTCGCCGTTTTGGCTCAAGCAATTTCGGCTGAAGGTTCAAGCGCGCTTCGTGTTCAAGCAATTGCTGATCACATTTATTTGTTTCGGGGGGGGGGTCTAAGGCTCGCTGTGACGCAACATGTAGTCCAGGTGCGAGCGCCGATCGGAGTGCGCAGGCCACAAGCTGGACGGAACTTGCCAGGTGGAGTCTACAGCAGCGCTCTCGATCCCCGCGGACGCGCTGTCCAAGAGGGTCACATTCGCGGACACGTCTCGGGGCAGGTCCTTCCCAGGCCCGCAGTGGCGACGGCCCTCCGGTGAGGAGCACGACAGCGACGACGAGGCCGAGGACCAGAGCGCCTTCCCTAGCGCGGACGCGGTCGCGAGGGACCCCTGGCCGACGGGCGGCTGCGGCCGCTGCCCCGCCGCCGGGCCAGTCCAGGGCGTGCTCAGCGCGCGCCCCCGCTGGGTCGCCCCGGCGGCGGCGCCGCGGCGCCCGTGGGGTCGCTCGGCCGCGGCGCCCGTGGGGGCCGCGGTGCGAGCACCGAGGCTCGAGGACCAAGGATCGAACGTCGAGGCTGGGCTGGAGGGCGTGAGGATATGGAGGCTCGAGGCTCGAGGGCTCCAGCACCGAGCTTCGAGGCTCGAGGGCCGGGGGTCGAGGCTGGACGAATCGAGGACCGAGGCTCGAGGCGGGAGCGTTCGAGGACCGAGGCTCGAGGCTCGAGGCTGGACGCCTCGAGGCCGGAGGGCTCCGGAGCCCAGGGCCGAGCGCCGAGGATCGAGGCTCGAGGCCCGAGTCGCCTCGAGGCCCGAGGCTCGGGTGTCGGAGGCCCCGAGGCTCGCGGGCCCGCGGCCGGGCGCCCCGCGCCGCCTCGCCCCGCGGCGTGGGGCAGGACCCCAAGCTGCCCGCCGCCGCCGCGGGCGGAGCCGTGAAGGAGGCCCGCCGCGCCGGGCTCCGCGCCGGGCCGCACGACGGCGACGACGGTGACGACGACGACGACGACGGCGACGACGACGACGACGACGACAGTGACGACGACGACGGCGACGGCGACGATGACGACGCCGGCGACGACGACGACAGTGACGATGACGACGACGACAGTGACGATGACGACGCCGACGACGACGACGACGACAGTGACGATGACGACGACGACAGTGACGATGACGGCTACGACGACAGCGACGACGACGACGACGACGACGACGACAGTGACGACGACGACGGCGACGGCGACGATGACGACGACGACGACGAGACGACCGACGACAGTGCCGATGACGACGACGACTGTGCCGACGACGACGACGGCGACGACGACGAACGACGACGACGAGGACGACGACAGTGACGATGACAAGACGACGGCGACAGTGACGATGACGACGACGACAGTGACGATGACGACGACGACGACGATAGTGACGATGACGACGACGACAGTGACGATGACGACGACGACGACGGCGACGACGACGACGACGACAGTGACGATGACGAGCGGGGACGACGACCACATTGACGGAATGACGACGACGACAGTGACGAACGACGACGACGGCCGACGACGACGACGACGACGACGGACAGTGGCGATGACACGACGACAGTGACGATGACGACGACGCGACGCCGACGCGACAGTGACGATGACGACGACGGACGACGACGACGACGACGGCGACGGCGACGAACGACGGACGACGACGACGACGACGACGACGGCCACGGAAAGGTTACTTCGACGGCAGTGAACGATGACATCACAAGAAGATATTATGCCACGGGACGACAGTGACAGTGACGACGACGACGACAACGACGGCGACGACAGTGACGATGACGACGACGACAGTGACGATGACGACGACGACAGTGACGATGACGACGACGACGACGACGACCACGACGACGACGACAGTGACGATGACGACGACGACAGAGACGACGACGACGACGTCAGTGACGATGACGACGACGACGACGACGACGACGACGACGGCGACGGTGACGGCGACGGCGACGGCGACGGCGACGGCGACGACGACGACGACGACGACAGTGACGATGACGACGACGACGACAGTGACGACGACGACGACGACGGCGACAGTGACGATGACGACGACGAGAGTGACGATGACGACGACGACGACACCAACAGTGTACGACGGTAAGGTATCCCGTACGATGACGACGACGACAGTGGATCGATGACGACCGACGACGAGCCATCAGTGACGAGGAACGACCCGGGCCAGCCGCAGTGACTATGACGACGACGACGACGGCGACGACGACGACGACGAACAGTGACGATGACGACGAGGACAGTGACGACGACGAACGACGACGACAGTGACGAAGTGACGACGACGACTGTGACATGACGACGCGACGACGACACAGTGACGGATGACGACGACGACAGTGACGATGACCACGACGACGACGACGACGACGTTAGGGAGACGATGACGAACGACGACAGTGACGATGCGACGACGACAGTGACGACGACGAACGACGAACGACGACGACGTCGACGACGACGACGACGACGACAGTGACGACGACGACGACAACGACGGCGACGACAGTGACGATGACGACGACGACAGTGACGATGACGACGACGACAGTGACGATGACGACGACGACGACGACGACCACGACGACGACGACAGTGACGATGACGACGACGACAGAGACGACGACGACGACGTCAGTGACGATGACGACGACGACGACGACGACGACGACGACGACGACGACAACAGTGACGATGACGACGACGACAGTGACGATGACGACGACGACAGTGACGGTGACGACGACGACGACGACGACGACGACGACGACGACGACGACGACGGCGGCGGCGGCGGCGACGGCGACGGCGACGGCGACGGCGACGTCGACGGCGACGGCGACGGCGACGACGGCGGCGGCGACGACGACCGTCGACCGTCGACCGTCGACGACGATGTCCACGACGACAACGACGACGCTCCTGCTCCTGCTGCTCCTCCTTCTCCGCCTGGTCCTCCTCCTCCTCCCCCTCCTCTCCCTTCTCCGCCTCCTTCTCCTCATGCTCCCTCTCCTGCTCTTCCGCGTTGGCGTCGGTTCTGGGCGGTGCTTCGGCCTCCCCTGAGATCCTGGCGCTGCCATTTTTCACGCAAGGCGCCTGCGCCCAAGTTCGGGCCCCGGGACCCTCACAGATCGATCCGGCGCGAAAAGAGACACAGAACAAAGGGGGGTAGGGCTCGGGTCGTGATCTTCCAGGATGTTGCAACTCTTTCGCTTCGTCGGAGCTCAGGGTCGAGATGGCTTCCAGCAGCTGCGGCTCGCCGGAAGCGTGCTGGGGGTGCCCGGGTCGTTCCGAGCGGCCGCTGGAGAGCCGGGGTAGGATTCGGAAACCACCAGGCGGTGAGGAGGTCGAAGGACAAATTGCACACATATGCAGAACTTCGAAGCGCTTCGCGCAGACCTCCCCATGCAGCAACGATGCTCAGGCGAGTGTCCCTGATCGAGGATGTGCAGGAGCACGCAGTGGTCTAGAGGGCTGCGGTAGGCGCCGTATTCCAGACGGGCAAGTATGGAAGGAGGAGGAGAGGGAGGGGGAGGGGGAGGGAGAGGAGGGAGGAGGGATGAGGAGGAAGAGGCGGATGAGGAAGAAGAGGAGGAGGAGGAGGAGGAGGGGGTGGAGGAGGGGGAGAAGGAGGAGGAGAAGGAGAGGGAGCAGGGCGAGCAGAAAGGCCAGAGGCCTCTCGGATGTCTCTCGGGGTCTCCTCCGATGTCCCTTGATTTTGGGGTTCTGTTGGGGCGTTTTGGGTTCCTGTAGGTGCTCCCAGGAGACTCGTGGAGCGTGGTGTGTGCCTTGGGAGAGCCTCTTGGGGCTCGCCTGGGGAGCCTCTTGGGGACCTCCTGGGGCCTCCTGGGGCCTCTTGGGTGCCTCTTTGGGGCCCTCGCGGGACCGTCCCGAGGCACCCTGAGGAGCCCTGGATGCCCTCTTGGGGCCCTCTTGGAGGACATCGGTCCAAGAAGGAGGAGGAGGAGGAGGAGGCGGAGGAGGAGGAGGAGGAGGAGGAGGAGTGAGTCAGAGCTCCCCCCCCCAGGAGGGCCCAAAGCGGGATCACATCCGCGGTCTGTGCCCGCTCGCCGAGGCCCTCGTGGACGCTCTGGTCGGTCGCGGGGCGCCCCGTCCAGGTCCAGAGAGGAGGGGTAGGCGTAAGTCGGGCTGGTCCCTGTACAGGAGGGGTATTCATCATCAATTCTCTGGACGCCCGAAATGGGTACGGAAAGAATGGGTACGATGCCCAACAGCAGTTCCTGTTCATTTTGAACCGGGCTCGCTGTCCGCGCCGCCGCGGCCTGTGTCCATTCGAGACAGGATGCCGCCTGCCCAAGAGCGGCCGCTGTTGCTTTGGGACAATATTTGCTGTTGGGCATTGTACCCATGTTTTCGGTACCCATTTCAGGCGTCCAAAAATTCGTCCACAACATGGTCGGGGGACGATGTTGTCAGTATTCTGGATTAGTTTTGGAACACTGGTTGACGATGCTCAGTTTTTCTCCCAAATTCCCCTGTCGGAGGATGTGCCCGACCTACGGGCAGGCGGCGGGGTCAGCATGTTCAGCGGTCGCCTACGGATGGACAGCTACTCGAATCCGAAACAGATCCCATGTGAGCGAGGCTGCGGCGGGGTGCGCTAAGCGTGCCAGGCGCGCTACGCGCGCCAGGTGCTCCAGGCGCCCCTGGTGCCCAAGCGTGTCAGGCACGCCTGGCGCGCCAGGTGCACCACGTGCTCCGCGTGCGCCACGTGTGCCGCATGGCCCAGGTGCGTGGCCCGCGCAGGGGGTGCCATCCGCGCGCGTGACAGCACACATCGGGACGCATGTCGGCCCCCGTCGAAGGCCGATGCAAGCTCGCGGCGGGGAGGCCATCGTGGTGCCTGGTGGGCCCTCACACAGCAGGCAATGCGCCAGCACCTCCGCCGTCTTCGACACAATGTATAATGGGCAATGATCGCGGGGTGGCCGCGCATGATTCATATTTAATCGCGATGTGTATGTTGTTTTGATTTTGGCAGGGATGGTGGCCTCGCGCGCAGCCGGAAATCTGATCCCCCCCGCCGTCACTGTCAGAACATAAAGTGCTCGCGGAAACCGCGAGCATACATAACCCCAGACGTTGTTCCAAATGATTGAATCGCTTCGCTCATTCTGCTGGCCCGTTGGCGTTTGCGTACGCGGTCGTGGGTCATGCGTTGCTGCTGGTCGGCGCTGCTGCGGTTCTGAGTGGGAGTCCTCATGCAAGTTTCTTGGTGTCTCATCGGAGGGTTCTCGGGGAGCTCCCGTGTAACAGCTTTAGGGGCTCTTGGGGGCCTCCCGGGGCCCCTGCCTCTAGGGGCTCTCTTGGCGCCTCTTGGAGGCCTCTTGGGGGGCTCCTGGGGGCTGCGTGGGAGCCTCGTGGGGCTGATTGGGGTTTCTCGGAGGCCTGGGGGAGGAGGCTCTGAGAGCGATTTGGAGGCCGAAGGCCTATTGAGAGCTCGTCGGAGGCCTGGGTGGGAGGGGGGCTATGGAGGCGATGTTGAGGCCGAACGCTCGGAATGTCCGTCGGGGCTCCCCCTCGAGGGGTCTTCCTGAAGGTGTATTGGGGCTCTCCAGAGCCGTATTGGGAGAAACGTGTGCCGTCTTGGGGTCCCCGTGGGCCGTTTTGGGGCTCTCCTGGAGGCTGAATGGGCCGTCTTGGAGCGATATTAGGGGCTTCTTGGGCCGTCTTGGAGCATCGGCGGCCGAAAAGATGAGAACGTTGGAAACCTCCAGAAACCAAACAAGTTGTTGCCTTGTTTGTCTCTACGGCTTCTTGGGTCTTGGAGGCATCTTCGGGCGTCTTGGAGGCGGTTGAAGCTGTTTGGGCATCTAGGAACGACTTGCGGTGGCTCTGGGCCCTCTTAGACAGCCTTCGGGGCCTCTTGAGACGCTCTTGAAGGCCATGATGGCAGCCCCCAGGAGTTCCGGCATCCGTGACGGGGACAATCCGGGCGTTTCGGAATTTTGTTTTTCTCTCCGTCCAGGGACCCTAGGGGCAGCTGAGCGCGCGAGCTAGAAGTGCTTCAAAGCTGTTACCGGAGCTTTCAGCACGCCTTTGGCCCATGGGGCCGGCACATTTTGTATTGTTTTTGTGACAGGGACGGTGGGGGGGGGTCATTGTTCCTAGTTGGCTGCCCGTCGCCTGGGGGAGGGGGGCGTTCATTTGTAGGAAACAGTGATAAACCCTTCCCCGAAGGGAGAGAAGAGAATTGGAAGAGAACACCCGCCAAACCACTCACGCCATGATGGTTGGCGGATCTCTTGGCTCGACGCTGGGTCGCTCCTGGCAGCGCCTCTGGCGTCGCCACCGGCGCGCTCCGCGCGCCAGGGAGGGGGGGGCCAGGCTTCCCCCCCCCCCCTCCGGGCGTAGGCGTAACGCTCGTCCGTGGGGGGAGGCGCTGGACGGCAACGGTCCTGGCATCGCTCGGACGTGTGCATTTTTCCTTCGGCGAGGACCATCGAGGAGCATCCTTGATCATTTTTCGAAAAAACCACGCACGAAACCGAACAAAAACACAAGGAGTGGATGTCCGAGCGATGGCGAGCGGTCGTCCGTGGCAGGCGGGGCCTGGACCCCCCCCTGGCATATGCAGGTGCGCGCGCGCCTACTTTTACAATGTCGATCGATCGCGGCGCACCCCTGCCCCGACGTGCGCGCTGCCGCTGCCCAGGGCCCCCGCCCCCCCTCTCCCCCCCCCCCCGAGTGCAGCTGCTCAGGGCGGGGAAAGGACACCGACACAAAGTAATCGTCGACCCCTGGAAGAACATGGGAAAATCTGGGAAGAGGGGGAAAACGAAAACCAAGAAGATATCAGAAAATCCTGGGACTTGTGTGTCTTTATGTGTGTGTCCCTCGGGCCCCTTTAGCTGCCCCGGCGTGCGCCTGCTCTCAGCTCCCAGCCTGCTGCGCCTGGGCCCGTGCGCAGGACGTCGCGGCGGCGCCCTCGCCTCGCCAGTGGATGAAACATGTTGTGTGTGTGTCTGTGTGTGTGTATGTCTGTGTCTGTGTCTGTGTCTGTGTCTGTGTCTGTGTGTGTGTGTGTGTCTGTGTGTGTGTGGTGGTCCACTGCCGCACTGCCTCTCCGTGGCTTCGTCTGCCCCTCGTTCCCCTCGCCCCTTCCCCCTCGCGACTGCTCCCCCTTCGCGAGAGCGCGTTCAGCTCCGCAGCGCCGCGTGAGCCGGGCCAGCCCGCGCGCTCCCGCCCGATGCCCGCGCCGCCGCGCGCGTGTTTGTGCGTGCGTGCGTGCGTGGGTGCGCGTGTGTGTGTGTGTGTGTGTGTGTGTGTGTGTGTGTGTGTGTGTGTGTCTGTGTGTGTGTGCGTGTGTGTGTGTGTGTGTGTGTTCGTGTGCGTGCGTGCGTGCGTGCGTGCGTGCGTGCGTGCGTGCGTGCGCGTGTGTGTGTGTGTGTGTGTGTGTGTGTATGTGCGTGCGTGCGTGCGTGTGTGTGTGTGTGTGTGTGTGTGTTGCTCATCCCGCATGCAGGGCCGCCCCGTCGGGCTGTCCCCACAAAAGCCGGCCCCCTGCCTGGTCTCGCCCCATGGGCCCTCCGGCCTCAGAGTGCACCTCTGCCCCCCCTCCCCCTTCGGCTGCTTGGTTGTTCGGGTCCTTCCGCGCCCGCACCGAACGTGCGCGCAGACTCACCGAGCGCAGAGTGCCCACTCGCAAACGTCCGAACACATTCACGCACATGTACACACATACTCACACAGATGTCCGCCCCGATGTAGTGCATAGCAGATCCCCCGTGGTGGATCCAGGCCACTTGCGAGGAGCGACCTGGCGGGCAGTGGAACGCGCTCGTCTGCAGACGTGCACCGGGAGCTGCACGCGCGTGCAGCCCAGACGCCGGCACGGGGATCGCTTCGGGGAGGGGAGGGGAGGAGGAGGAGGGGAGGAGGAGGAGGAGGAGGAGGAGGAGGAGGAGGAGGAGGAGAGGAGGAGGAGGAGGAGGAGGAGGAGGAGGAGGAGGAGGAGGGAGGAGGAGGAGGAGAGGAGGTGGAGGAGGAGGAGGAGGAGGAGGAGGAGGAGGAGGAGGGGGGAGGAGGAGGAGAGGAGGAGGAGGAGGGAGGAGGAGGAGGAGGAGGAGGAGGAGGTGGAGGAGGAGGAGAAGGAGGTGGAGGATCAGGAGGAGGGGGAGGAGGAGGTCTTCGGGCCGTCCCTCAGCCCCTGGTGCCGGGAGCCTCTCCGTGGCCGCGGCTCGCCGTGGCCAAGGGAGCAGCCTCGCGCTCCGCCCGCGGCGGCCCTCGTCGTGTAGCACGACGGCGGCTGCGAGGTGTGCGGGCGCTCGCCCGAAACAGGTGTTGGGCATGTTCTGTGGAGCGTCTCACGCTCGCGAGGCCACCCACAGGAAGGTCCACGGTTGCTGTGCGCTACAGTCGGGGCGCTGAGGAAGGAACCCTTTTCGTTGGGGAGGGGCTCGGTGTTCCTTACGTGTTTCGCAGCTTGCCTCAGGTTTTCCTTAGGTTTTCGATGTGAAATCGAAGTTTAACTTCTGGAAAATAGGGGCCTCGTTCCTTATTTAGGGTTCCTTAGGTCAACGCCCCGACTGTATGCGGGCGCTCGCCCGAAACACGTGTTGGGCATATTATCTGTTGAGCATCTCACGCTCGCGAGGCCACCCCAATCAGAGCGTGAATTGCCTACCCCGCTTTCGCTTCCAGGCAGAACCGAGTCATGCCATACGCCTCCTCGCCAAGCGGCCTGACCAGTACATGCCGTAGTTTGGCATCGCTTGGTATCTCTTGGAAGCGAGTGTGGTCAAAAGCGAGGTAGGTTTGTTTGCCCCCTACCACAGGAAGGTCCACTGTTGCTGTGCGCTATGGCGGTTGCGAGCACAGCTTCAGTGGTCATGTGTGCCACCTTTGACGCCCGCCGAGCGCACGTCGGCAGCAGAAGGCGCGCGTTCCCGGCGTGGTTGATGAGCCAGTCGGTGGCATTTGCGGCTGCCCTTTGTAAACAACATATCCCTACGCAGCCTGGTCCCTCGTGCGGAGGCGAGCTCTCTCCCCCCCTCCGATCCAGGCCTCCCAAGTTGGGGCCGGAGCGGACGGGGCCGGAAGTGCGCGCCGCGTCCGAGGATGCCTCGGCGGCGCGGCCCGAGACGGAGGGCCCGGTCGCCGCCAGCCTGGCGCCGCCGAGGCGTGGCCGAGGCATCCCGCGATGCGGCGCGGTCCCTATGGGATCTCTGGCCCCACTCTCGGGGGAGAAAAAGATACGGATACGTGTTGTCCCCCGTCGTTTTCGGCCTTTCCTGGTCCTCCTGGGGAATCCTCGTTGTCACCGCTGGATTCGCCTCGAAATTCTGGTCAGAACGCACCCCAAGAGAGGTCCGGGGACAACACGTATCCGTATCTTTCCGCCCCCCAACACTCCGTTCCCCATCGTGGAGCCATTTTGGAGGCCTCCTGAGCTATCTTGGGCGATCTTTGGAGCCTCTTGGGCCGTCTTGGGCTGTCGGAAGGCCCAACAGAAGCACACCCCCAACATCTATCAAACAACCTGGGGGCAGCCAGCGTTTTTGGCCTCTTCGGGCTCTCCTGGAAGCGGGCTGCGCGCAGAGACGGGCCCCCCCAGGCAGTCCCAGCTGTGACGGTCCAAGCGTGCGGCCCGCGTGAGCCACCGCGCAAGGCCGCCATGTTCGAGTCGGGCATGTCCTTCTACAGGAGGAGGATTCAAAGATAGTCGAAGAAAAATTAGTCTGGGGACTATTTTTTGATGTTTGTTCCTGTGCTCGTTGTTTTCCATTTTCTATCCAAAATCCGCCTGTAGGAGGACACGCCCGACCTAAGCGTAAGGCCGCTATGTCATCTCGCGAGATACGCGCCTCTTCCTTCTTCTCGCCGCCCCTCTGGGATCCATGGCAGGCCTCCCCGTGCAGCGTCCCGGCAAGAGGCGGACATGGACCCGAGCGGGAGCTGGACCACGCAGACGACCGCGTGCAGCTCCACGTTCGGAACTTTCGAGGACCGCGGGCCGCAGCACGACGACAGAAACGTAAGCTTTTGGAGCTCCGCTCGGAGTTCTTGGAGCTGCGCTGGGTCTCCCCGGCGGCGCCTCCGGCGCCTTCCCTGGCGCGCGCAGATCCAAGAAGTCCCCGCGGACCTCCAATGAGAGTATGCTTGTGCAGTTGCGTCTTCTTCTCCCATCCCGATCCCCACCATCCCAATTCCCCTGTTGGGGCATGTGCCCCTCGAAACCCAAAGGGAACCGCCTCTATCTCCATCCGGGGGGGTACATCGGCCAGTGGGGTGCAGGCCGCGCCAGTGGGGATCAGTATCGGTGAAGCGATGCTCAGCTTATTGGAAGGCAGATCTGGCGTCAAGAAAGCCGCTGTTTCAACAAGGCTGTTCCCAAGGGGCGCGCTCCAGCGGCCGTGACTCGTCAAACGCATCCCGCGGGCTCCAAGATCATCATAAGACGGCTCCAAACGGCGACGACGACGACGACGACTGGACGACAACGGCGACGACGACTACAACGACGACGACGACAACGACGACGACTGGACAACGACGACTGAACGAGGACGACGACGACCGGACGACGACGACGACTGGACGACGGCGACTGGACGACGACGGCTGCATGACGACGACTGGACGACGACGACGGGACGACGACGACGACGACGGGACGACGACGACGGGACGACGACGACGACGACTGGACGACGACGACGACGACGAGGTGACGACGACGCTGCCGACGACGACTGGACGACGACGACGACGACTGGACGACGACGGCGACGACGAGGTGACGACGACGCTGCCGACGACGACTGGACGACGACGACGACAACGACGACGGCGACGACGAGGTGACGACGACGCTGCCGACGACGACTGGACGACGACGACGACGACGACGACGACGACGACGACGACGACAACGACTGATCGATGGCGGCGACGACGTCGACGTCAACGACGACCAAAGACCACAACAATGACGACGACTGGACAAAGACGTCTGGTAGATGCCGACGTCGCCGACTACGACGACGAAGATGATGGCGATGACGACAACGACTGGACGACGACGAGTACAGGACGACTGCGACGACGACGACGACGGCGACAACGACGTCGACTGGACGACGACGTCGACGACGTCGACGGCGACGACAACTGGACGACGACGACGACGACGACGACGACGACGACGACGACTGGACGACGACGACGACTGGACGACGACGACGACGACGATGACGACTGGACGACGACGACGATGACGACGACGACGTCGACGACTGGACGACGACGATCACGACGACGACGATGACGACGACGACGACGGCGACGACGACTGGACGACGACGGCGGGATGAGGACGACTGGACGACGACGACGACGACAACGACGACGACTGGACGACGGCGACTGGACGACGACGGCTGCATGACGACGACTGGACGACGACGACTGGACGACGATGACGAAGACGATGACGACGACTGGACGACTTGTCGACGACGACGTCGACGATGACGATGGCGACGACGACGACGACGACTGCGACTAGACGACGACGACAACTGGACGACGACGACTGGACAACGACCGCTGGATGACGAGTGGAAGACGACACCTGGACGACGACGACTGGACGATGACGGCTGGGTGACGACGACGACGACTGGACGACGACGACGTCGCGTCGACTGGACGACGACGACGATGACGACGCCGATGTCTGGACGACGACGATGACTGGACGACGACGACGACGACGACGACGACGATGTCGCCGACTGAACGACGACGACGACGAACGAACGACGACGACTCGACGACGACGGCGACTGGACGACGAGGACGACGATTTTCACGACGACTGGACGACGACGACGACAGGACGACGACGAAGATGACGACGACGACTGGAAGACGACGACTGGACGACCACGACTAGACGACAACGACTGGACGACGACGACGACTGGATGACGATTGGCCGACGACGACTGGACGTCCGCGCCTGGACGACGCTGACTGGACGACGTCTTGACGACGACGACGACCACCACCACGTGTTTCGACGGTGCCACGGGGCGAGGCTCGCTCCCCCGTCCTCCTCCTTCTCCTCCTTCTCCTTCGCCTCTTCCTCCTCCTGCACCTCCTGCATCTCTTCTGCCCCCTCCCCCTCCTCCTCCTGCTCCTCCTCCTCCTTCTGCACCTCTTCTGCCCCGCCTCCCCCTCCTCCTCCTCCGTCTCCTCCTCCTCTTCCTCCTCTCCCTCCTTCTCCTCCCCCTCCTCCATCCTCCTTCTCCTCCTCGGCCTCGGCCGCGAGCTCGCTCGGGACCAGGAGCTTGGCCGCGCCTGCTGCCGTCAGGATCGAAGGCGACGACGACGACGACGACGACGACAACTGGACGACGACGGCGGCTGGACGACGACGACGACCGACGACTGACGATTGACGACCTCGCATCACGACAACGACGACATCCAAGGGTCCGCCCACAGCGACGGCTGGACGACGACGCTTCACGATTAAGACGATCTCCGGGACTTCCGCCGGCGACGACGGTCACCATGGCACGGCCCCACACAGGCGACGTCCTGACTTGTTCCGTGTGGGGTTCTGGTAAGTCCCGACCCTTCCCCGAGGGCGGACTTTCAATCCTTGATCCTCGATGTTGTCACGACGCGAGCATGTCTGGAGCGGCCTCGGCTCCAATGGCGGCGGCAAGCGACGAGCGACGATCGACGACGGCTGATGGGCCATTTCCCACCACCACTACCATGGGTAGGACGGGGGAGAAGGAAGAATGGGGAGATCCTCCTCCGCCTCCTCCTCCTCCTCATGCTCCTTCCCCTCCTTCTCCCCCTCGTCCTCCTCCTCCCCCTCCCCCCTCCTCCTCCTCCTTCTCCTCATCCTCCTCCACCTCCCTCCTCCTCCTCCTCCCTCCTCCACCCTCCTCCTTCCTCCCTCCTCCACCCTCCTCCATCCTCCCCCTTCCTTTCTCCTCCTCCTCCATCCTCTTCCGTCCTCCGTCCTCCCTCTCCTAACCCCCGACAGTGGCCATGGAACAGCGGGCCTGGTCAGCGGCCGGGCCGCGAGGGGCGGCCGCGGCAGGACCTGCCCGCGTGGCACTTCGCCGTCGAGGCGGCGCCGAGCCCGCCGCCCGTGGCGCCCGACGGCCCGCTGGAAGGCGCCGACGTTCCTCGTCGTCGTCGTCGTCGCCGTCGTGGCTGTGGTCGCCATCCTCGTCGTCGTTGTCGTCGTCGTCGTCGTGGTCGTCGTCGTCGTCGTCGTCATCATCATCATCATCATCATCAGCATTATCGTCATCGGCATCATCATCATCAGCAGCAGCAGCATCATCATTATCAGCGTTATCGTCATCGGCATCATCATCATAAGCGTCATCGTCATGGTCATCATCATCATCATCATCATCATCAGTGTCATCATCGCCATCATCAGCATCATCATCAGCGTCATCATCATCAGCATCATGGTCGTCATCGTCATCATCAGCATCCTCATCCTCAGCTCCCTCATCGTTATCATCAGTGTAGTCATCATTATCATCTTCACCAAGAGCATCGTTATCGCCAGCAGCAGCAACATCATCACGATCACCAGCAGCAGCAACATCATCACCATCACCATCACAACATCATCACTAGTACAAGCTTCATTACGATTTCCATCATCAACATCATCATATCATCAGCCCGATCGTCATGATCAGCAACAGCATTAACATGATCATCATCATTAACATCATGATGATCTCAATCGCTCATCATCACCATTGCCATCAGCACCCATCACAGTTTAGCTTAATTTTTCATCAGCAGCAGCATCGGCATCGTCATCAGCATCACAACATGGTCAGCATCATTACCATCATCCCCACCATCACCATCACAAGCAGCATCATCATCATCATCATCATCATCATCATCAGCACCATCACCACAATCATTAACATCAACATCCTGATCGTCGTCGTCACGCTCACCCACATCATCATCATCCTCATCATCACCAACACCAACATCGTCATCGTCACCATCATCACCATCGCCAATACCAACATCGTCATCGTCATCCTCGTCATCCTCGTCATTGTAATCAGCATTGTCATCATCATCAGCATCAGCAGCATCGTTGTCATTATCGTTACCGCGCTCATCATCATAACCCCCACGACCACCATCATCATCACCATCACCATCACCATCACCACCATCACCATCTCCATCAGTATCATTCTGGAAAGGGGGGGAGGGGGTCAAGGCGAGGGTCGAGGATCCCAGGATCGAGGGTCGAGTATCAGTGTTCTGGAACTTTCTCGGGCCTGTCTGGCCGAGGAAGAAGGACAAGCATACGCATACCATTTTGGAGCTTCGCGTGGATTTCGCGGGCTGGCGCCTGGGGCCCCGTTTGCGTCGCCTCCAGCACAGCCCCTGGGGCGTGCCAGGGAGGGGGGTCAAGGCGCCGATCTGCGCGGGCCTCCGAAAGTTTACGTCTACAGTGGGGGCCCATGCCAAGAAACACCCAGCTTGCCTCCAGGGTACCCTGGGTTTCTTGGGTTTCGATGGTTTCGCTATGGAAGGCGTGGCGCTCCCACGCCAAAAGAATGAATGGACGACCTGGGGTCTCAGGGTTGGTCTTCTTGTGGAGGGCTTTTTGTGGTCGGGCCTCCACCGTACGCAGTTTGTTGCTTTCCGATGCTCGAGGGCCAGGGCAGTGGAGCGTTTTTGTTGGCCTGAGGAGGATGAGGAGGAGGAGGAGGAAGAGGAGGAGGAGGGGGCAGAAGAGGTGGAGGAGGAGGAATAGGAGGAGGAAGAGGCGGAGGAGGAGGAGGAGGAGGAGGAGGAGGCGAAGGAGGAGGAGGAGGAGGAGGAGGAGGAGGAGGAGGAGGAGGAGGAGCAGCCACGCTGCTGCCGCTGGCCCCCCCCCCAGCGTCGGCCACGCCACGCGCCTGGGTCTGCTCCGAGCGGCCCTGGCTCCTGCCTCCCTCCCCGCCTCGGCCGTCGCCCTGTCGTCTTCCCCCCACCCCCCACCCCCGCTTGCATGGTGGCGCAATTCGCTTGACGTTTGCCCCGCTTCGCTCCCCACGCCAGCGCAGTCACTCTGCCTAGCCGCCGGCGCAACATGTGTGTCCAGCCTGGGAGATAAATTGGGTCGAGCTCCAAACTTGCGTGCTGCTTTCTCGCCTCCTGCCACCCGTCTAGATGTGAAGGGCCTGTTGGTGGCAGGACCAGGCGCCTGCCTTGCGCACACCCGCGGCCCGCCGCGAACCACTTACGCCAAGGGTGGAGCGCCCAGCGGCCTGCGCAAGAACGGGGAAAATGCGGCCCGAGGATCCCAGGGTGGCGGCGCGCGCGCGGGCGCGGCGCGAGGGTGGC